CTGAGGTCCGTGTTTGTGTTGCTTACAAGGTTCCATTGATTGCCATTTGGCTCAAGACACAAGCGAGGTTCAAGATCTTATGTGTAGCTGCGTTCATACGTGATCGGCAATTGAGAGCGGAAAACATTTCGCTTGTGCTGCATTTGTCAGGACCACTGTTGTAACTATTATTCCTTCTCCCTTACAACATTTGCACGGGTTCGGCTATAACGGTTTGACCGTATACACCTTTCTACGTGGTTGGTATTGCAGCTGGAGGGTTCGGTGGACAGCGTCCCACGGGACGTCACCTTGCCGTCTCTTGACAAGAACCTTGATTTATCAGCGTGCAGACAAAAAGATGAATGTTCTATATCACCAATATCAGAATGTGGAAAATATAAGAACGTGCGTTAGTTAAAGAGATAGAGTCAAACACTCAGGATAAAAGAATTAAGGAATTATCAGTGCCCTGCAAGCTTAGCGCGCGCAGCGGGGCGTTGCGCCACACGCAGAACTCCTGCACCTCTTGGCGGAGATCCAAGGCGCCCAGTTGTGGCGCAGCATGGCGTCGAAGTCGGGGCCTGTGCGCTTGCGCAAGGACTTCGACTACAACCAGTCCCTCATCCGGGAGGGCGCCAATGGGCGGAAAAAGCTCGTGCGCTCCCTGCAAGGCGGGGAGCACGGCTGACCAAGCTAAGGCTTCTTCCGTGATTTTTCCCGAAAGCATGGCGAAGGGTTCTTCCGCTGGGTTCACTTGAGTTGTTCTCATGAGAGTGATTACAAGGTGTCATTGCAAGGAATCATCATCATGAAAGTCATTGCAAGGAGTCATTGCATTGCAAGGAGTCATTGCAAGGAGTCATTGCAAGGAGTCATTGCAAGGAGTCATTGCAAGGAGCCATTGCAAGGAGTCATTGCAAGGAGTCATTGCAAGGAGTCATTGCAAGGAGTCATTGCAAGGAGTCATTGCAAGGAGTCATTGCAAGGAGTCATTGCAAGGAGTCATTGCAAGGAGTCATTGCAAGGAGTCATTGCAAGGAGTCATTGCAAGGTCATTGCAAGGAGTCATTGCAAGGAGTCATTGCAAGGAGTCATTGCAAGGAGTCATTGCAAGGAGTCATTGCAAGGAGTCATTGCAAGGAGTCATTGCAAGGAGTCATTGCAAGGAGTCATTGCAAGGAGTCAAGGATTGCAACTTGCACTTGACTCCTTGCAATTGCAACTTGCACTTGACTCCATGCACTTGCAACTTGCACTTGGCTCCATGCACTTGCAACTTGCACTTGGCTCCATGCACTTGGCTCCTTGCACTTGGCTCCTTGCACTTGCAACTTGCACTTAACTCCGTGCACTTGCGACTTGCACTTGACTCCATGCACTTGGCTCCTTGCAACTTGCAATGGCTCTCATGACTCCTTGCAATGACTCCTTGCAATGACTCCTTGCAATGACTCCTTGCAATGACTCCTTGCAATGACTCTTTGCATGACTCCTTGCAATGACTCCTTGCAATGACTCCTTGAAACAAGCAAGGAGTCAAGTGCAAGTTGCAAGTGCAAGGAGTCAAGTGCAATTGACTTGCGAGGAGTTAAAATCTCTTCTTAGGGCGGCGGGGTAGTGCCGACGACACTACACGAAAATCGACCCTCTGCGGGGATCGGCGTGGTCGAGGTGCAAAAACCCATGGTTTTTTTGCGATTTCTAAAGTTCCCGCGCGACCCTCTGCGGGGATCGGCGTGGTCGAGGTGCAAAAACCCATGGTTTTTTTTGCGATTTCTAAAGTGCTCGCGCGACCCTCTGCGGGGATCGGCGTGGTCGAGGTGCAAAAACCCATGGTTTTTTGCGATTTCTGCGGTGCTCGCGCGACCCTCTGCGGGGATCGGCGTGGTCGAGGTGCAAAAACCCATGGTTTTTTGCGATTTCTGCGGTGCCCGCGCAACCCTCTGCGGGGATCGGCGTGGTCGAGGTGCAAAAACTGTGGTTTTTGCGATTTCTGCGGCGCTCGCGCAACCCTCTGCGGGAATCGGCGTGGTCGAGGTGCAAAAACTCGAGGTTTTTTGCGTCTTTTGTTGTCCTCGGGAGTTGTCTCGTGGTTCGCGCGCCTGCTCCCGGGCCGGCGGGTCGCGGGTTCGATTCCTCCCTGGTCCGCGGGCGGGCGTCGCAAGATGCAACTTGCATTTTAAAGCAACTTGCGCAGAGCAACTTGCACAGAGCAACTTGTGCAGACCAACTCGCACCGACCAGTTTGCGCAGAGCGCCTTGCCTAGAGCAACTTGCGCAGAGCAACTTACGCAGAGCAACTTGCACAGAGCAACTTGCACAGAGCAGCTTGCGCAGAGCAACTTGCAGGGAGCGCAATTTGCACAGAGCAACTTGCAGGGAGCCACTTGCAGGGGCCAACTTGCCGGAGCAACTTGCGCGGAGCAACTTGCGCAGAGCAACTTGCACAGTGCAACTTGCGTAGAGCAACTTGTTAACTTGCACCGACCAGTTTGCGCAGAGCACCTTGCCTGGTGCTGTCTCGCGCTTGCTTCACGAAGTGTAGGGAAAAAGAACGCATCCTGCAGCGTTGGGCTGACCTCGCTTGCGATGTTCTGCTTTCGGGCCAACCGTGGTCTAGTTTGTCACCTGCGCGCCTTGGGGCAATTGCCATCGGTCACGAAACCTAATGTGCATCAGAAAAAAGATGAAGTGAGACGGATGTGAAACGCAATAGATGCCACGCGAACGAAACGGCCATAACCGAAACAACAAAGAAAACACAGAAACAACGCACCAAACAACGAACCAGAGAACAGACAACACCAGCAAACAAGGCGATCATTTCGCCCACATGGGAATCGACAACAGAGAGCAAAAGCTCCAAAACACATGAACCGAACTTCATTGAGTCCAGATATGGCTATTGAAGTGGCAGGCTTGAAAGTCAACAAACGGGCGCTCCACTCCGTCGGGGCGCCCCGTGGGTGGCCACGCAGAGAGAGCAAAATCTGCCAGGGCCGGGGGCGGCGACTCTGCCGGGGTTACCAGGGGCAGCTTTGCCTTGCGCTTCGGGGCTGCCGGCTCGGTGGGCAAGTCCGGCTTGGGTTTGTTGTTGTTGTTGCTGCTGGTGCTGTTGTTGTTCTTGTTCTTGTTCTTGTTCTTGTTCTTGTTCTTGTTCTTGTTCTTGTTCTTGTTCTTGTTCTTGTCCTTGTCCTTGTCCTTGTCCTTGTCCTTGTCCTTGTCCCTTGTCCTTGTCCTTGTCCTTGTCCCTTGTCCCTTGTCCTTGTCCTTGTCCTTGTCCTTGTCCTTGTCCCTTGTCCTTGTCCTTGTCCTTGTCCCTTGTCCTTGTCCTTGTCCTTGTCCTTGTCGTTGTCGTTGTCGTTGTCGTTGTTGTCGTTGTGGTTGTCGTTGTTGTTGTGGTGGTGGTGGTTGATGTTGTATTTGTCGTTGTCGTTGTCGTTGTCGTTGTCGTTGTGGTGGTTGTTGTCGTTGTCGTTGTCGTTGTCGTTGTCGTTGTCGTTGTCGTTGTCGTTGTCGTTGTCGTTGTCGTTGTCGTTGTCGTTGTCGTTGTCGTTGTCGTTGTCGTTGTCGTTGTCGTTGTCGTTGTCGTTGTCGTTGTCGTGTTGTCGTTGTCGTTGTCGTGTGGTTGTTGTTGTTGTTGTTGTTGTTGTTGTTGTTGTTGTTGTTGTTGTTGTTGTTGTTGTTGTTGTTGTTGTTGTTGTTGTTGTTGTTGTTGTTGTTGTTGTTGTTGTTGTGCTGCTGCTGCTGCTGCTGTGCTGCTGCTGCTGCTGTGTTGTGTTGTTGTTGTTGTTGTTGTTGTTGTTGTTGTTGTTGTTGTTGTTGTTGTTGTTGTTGTTGTTGTTGTTGTTGTTGTTGTTGTTGTTGTTGTTGTTGTTGTTGTTGTTGTTGTTGTTGTTGTTGTTGTTGTTGTTGTTGTTGTTGTGTTGGTTGTTGTTGTTGTTGTTGTTGTTGTTGTTGTTGTTGTTGTTGTTGTTGTTGTTGTTGTTGTTGTGGTCGTGGTCGTCGTCGTTGTCGTCGTTGCCGCCAATCGTGGTGTTCGCCGCCGTGGAGCTTTTGTCGAGACGCAAAAGCGCATCCGAACAGCGCTGAGCAACGTGCGCGGATTTCAACACATGTTTAAATGAGCCTGTGCCACACATACGTACCGCCTGACCAGCACATCCGCTGAACAGGGCCCGTGCACCAGTGTGCCCGTGCCTGCCATGAGAAGCACGCCCATGCAACTGAGCCCGTGTTAATACGCACTTTCATTGGCTGTCCTCTCAAACGGTTCTTCCACCAAAAACGGTTCAGTAAGGAACCTCGTTAAAGCTTTGGACCCCTGAGTTGGGTTCCATGGTAGCAGCCCTTTGCCTTCATGCTGTCGAGGGCATCTTTTGATGGTTTCTGGCAGTGTTTTGCGTCATCCCAAGAGTTTCGTGTAAACTCACGGAAATGGTTCTTTCCAACTTAGTTGTTCGGGGCCTTCGCACGAAACTCCACGGTGAATCACTTCACTCTGCGTTTGGGCATCCAAGGTGGAAGTGCTTCTTTAGAAAATGTCTCTATTGATCCAAGCGGCGCGGGAACCTTTCACGTATCCAGTTTCAACTGAACAAACACACAAACTGTAAACATGCAGGAAACACGCGCCTGAGGCCAACAACCAAGCATCTTGTTTATTTTTGTTTTCACAGCTGAATTGCAATCTCAATACCAAGCCCCCCTCCCCACGTGTTAGTGCCATGAAGGGAGAGGCGGGTGGGTTACAGAACCCTTCTCCGCCACATGCAAGGCCCGCCTATCTTTAGGTGTAGTTCATTTCTGATGCTTCCCCAGGCACTACTGCCAAAAGCAGAAGCGCCCCCACAGATATGACACAAATGCAAATGTTTGCTCATAACATATCGTCCTTGGCTCAAGGTACTCAATTTAAGGGGCGTGAAAAACGGAGTTTGATTTTGATCAATGCCGTTGGACCGATTTAAGCAGTCGCAACCAGACGTCAGAGGAGTCGGTTTTCGGACTTGGAGCAGATGCCGAAGCGAACAAAAGTTGAGGAGGTGAAGCGAGAGGCGACTCGGCAGCTCTTGGTGTGGCATGTTTTTCGGAGCATGAAACTTTCAGCCTGGATTTCTCTACCTGCCTTGGCAGCAGAAAGCCGTGCTTTGGGGAGGGTGGCAAGATTGGTGCCATTTGAAGGTCGAAGTCTAAAACTAGTTCATTTGGCAACCAGGTCCAGTGGCTCTTTTTGTCACGGATCCGGGAAAGCTGCAAGCTGCCAAACGGCTGAGGATGAGGCGAAGGCTTATCCGGAGTGGGTGGATCTGGGGATGAGCGAGCTGAAGGCGGTGGTGGAGATGCCCTGGGAGGTGGTGAACGACGGCCTGGACGACGCTGCTGAGCCGGTGGCGCCCGACAAATCGGCCGAGAAGATCCACGACTCCGTGGCGGCGGTGTGGCGGGAGTGGTGGCGCCAGCACCTCGGAAGTCGTGTTTGAAGCGGAAAATTGGGAGACGCTGAGCTCGTGAGTCGGAAGAGTGGGGCATCCAGGGTGGGTGGGCGGCTGGAGAGGGTGCTCTGAGTTGCTGGGGAACCCCCAAGAGGGGGGCACGGCCCTCGCTTTGGACCCGTAGGCAGGTGAAGCTGACGCCCGTGGCGGTAGAGCTCCGATGTCCTTTGCGGGGGGACCGCAAGGTGGCGGACCAGGAGCTTTCCAAATTTTGGTTCGAAGCTCCCTTCAAACACCAACCAAAAAGGGGGGGGAGTCCAAAAAACAAACACATCTTGAGGGGCCCGTGATACTTACACACCCCTTTGCATTTTGGATTTTGTTGGAGTTTCTTTGAGGGGGAAAGGGTAAACCACCAGGAAAGGAAGGCAACAGGACACAGAAGCGACGCCCCCCATTTACTAGATTTGGAACTGGGGGAATCCCTTCAGCTGCCGAACCCCCCCGCAAAAACAACAACTGGGGTTGTTGGAAAAAATGAGCACATTACCACGGCATCTTGTGCGACGTGAGGAGAGGGCGAAGCTGATGAGGCCTGCCTTGCCGCCCCAGCGAAAAAAGGAGCCTCCAGTGCCTGTGCTGACGCGCCTTGGCAAGCCGAGGGCAATGAAAACCAACAAGGAAAAAGGTCAGAGGATGGTTCCTCTGACAGAATATGCAGGGACCCCGCATCAAGTGGCAGATCTACTTTTGTTTGTCCTGGGTTCCCATTCGTTCCGAGCGCTGTGCCTGCCTGATCTTACTTGAGGATAAAGCACTTTGCGTTGCAACTGCAGGGCGGTCACAAGGGCCCCCAGCATAAGGCAATGCGGCGAGTGGCGTGATTGATCGCTTCCACAGTTTTTATAGCCCAGATTTGCGAAGGACGTTTGGTTCGGCGCTCACCTGAGTTCGCGAGAGGTTACCGCTAGAAATTGCCCCATGTGAGCTTCTCGAAATATGGGGAGCAAATGTTTGGTTTCTGTTGGTACCCTTAAAAGTCAATCCAAACGAGTTTTCCCCAACAAACACACACACACACACACCATTTATTATGAACCCGGGAGAACAAAGCAAACGCAGGGCAAGAACCCTGCAAAGACGGCCCTTTTCTCAATGGCTTCATTTCCCTTACGGCAGCTTTCAACCAGCAGTGTTTTCTTCCTGGTCCCCACCTGGCCCCCGCGTGGCCTGGCGGATTGTCAGGGACTTGGTGCGTCTCCTGCGGCTGCGGGCGGCCCAGCGCGCCGCGTGGCTCCGCGCGGCCGGCGCCGCCGCGCGGCGCCGGGGTGGGCGCCGCGGCCGGCGGCGCCCTGCGCGCGGCACGTGGCGCCCTGGGCGCGGCATGCGGCGCCCTGGGCGCGGCGCGGGGGGGCGCTGTGCCTCGGATGGTTTCGACGGCTGTGTGCACAGTGCGGAGGTTTGAAGGCGGAAAGTTGACGACCCACCGAAAGAAGCTGCCGAGTAAGTTGTCCCTTCAAGCGAGTGTCTGCGCCAAGACCCTAAGAGCCCCATCGGAAAGCCAAGGGAGTGCCCCGCAGCGAGTACACGGGATCTGTCTTCCAAAAGGGGGGTTGTGCACTTTTACGTTTGCCAGAAGGAAGGGCAAAGTTCGGGACTGCAATTTTACAGCCTACTTTGAACTTTCATGCGGGTAGGCCTCAGAAATCGTGTGAAGTCCGCGTTCCAACTGGGGTCCAACTGGGGTCCAACTTTCAAAGACATGGTCCTTTCCTCTCTCCGGCCGAATCAGGTGGAGGACTTGAACCTAAAGCCGAAGGGTGAAGATGTGAGTACCAGGAAAAAGGCCCCTTCTCCAGACTCACCAAGCTGGAGTCAGGGAAGTGCATTGGCATGAAGCAGCGCGCTACAGCGGCTTGATTTGTTCGTGGCGTTCCCCCCACAAATGCTGAGTTCTGTCGTCTTAGGTGGTTTCCTTCTAGAAACCCTTGAAGCACTGAAGGGGGTCCTGATCTCAAGACCGCCTACGAGGGCACGTCAAAACTTGCATGCATCTCCAACCAAGACTGGGGCTTTTCCAATGTGGGCGTGTGATTTTTTGAGGGCACCCCTTGTTGGGCGCGTGTTTTGGCGGGAAAGCGAAAGAACAGCCGAAGCAGCTCATTTTGGCGGTTCCCATCAAAAGAGCGGCACGACGCCCATGTCCCCCCGACCTCGAAACTCGGAGACCCGAGACCCGCCTCAAGGTTCCAGGCCGTGGAGAGCCTGGCAGACACACCATACCTAGAGGAGCCGGGTCCCGGCTAAAGGGGGCCGCTGAGTCGAATTTTTGGTTGGACCAGAGCTGTGGACTTTTTGAGTTCTTTGTTGAGCTTAATGGGGGCTTCCCTCGTAGAAATCGGAAATCATCGCCATTTACTTTTGTGCCTCTGGCTAGATGATGGGCTTTCTTCTCCAGTTAAGTGTCCGCCCCGCCAACAGTAGGGACATCTTTTTGTTAGTAGACTCTTTCTTGATCCAGGCTTTGATTACGACCTAATTTGGTTGTCATGTTTTCGCGAGGTTGCCCTGTTTGGGTTGTTCCGGCGGTTGTCAAAGGGACACCCAAAAAGACCCGCACCATTTGGAGGTGCCCTCAGTTGGAACCGAGCTTGTTTCGTCAGATGCAGGGAGTTCGGCTCAGGATATGAGTTACTGGTGCAGTTCACGGAAACCCTTTTGCAAGCAAGCCTTTTCATGCTTTTGAGCCTTCGGATGGGGAGCCTCGCTGTGAAATCCCAAGTTTGATCAAGTGCCGGTGCCGGACCAGAGCGCGCGAGGACGTGCCCAAGCGCAGGAAGATGATGCAGGAGTGTCCTGGCAAAGAGGAGGGGGGGGGGGCCGGAAGTGGGGGATGGGGACTGTGGAGGGGCATTCCGAGAAATGAAGGGGGAGCCTGGAAGCAAAAGGATCTGGGTTCTTGGGCTCAGCTGCGTTGAAGGCAAAGGAACGAGCCAGGGTTTGAGGGGTCCCAGTACTTTGGCCCTGCCAACATTTTGGCTGATTCGGCCATACTGGAAAACGTGTTTGGGGTCTCGAACTCCTTTTCAATGAACCAAGCCGCATAATTTTCGATTCTCGTGCGGAGAACAAACTGGAACACAAGATGTCTGTGCATGAACTCGTGAGGAAGTCTTAGCTTCCTGAGCTCTGGATTTCCAGTCTCATGAGAGTGTGACCCAGCAGAGTTCACAGGGAAGCCACGGACTTTGGGTCAAAGCGCCACGGTTTGCCTTTCGAGCCGCGTGGCTGGCCTTTTGGCTATCGCCGAGGTATCAGCAGCGCTTGGAGATTTCGAGGGAGTCGGAGCCAACAGCAGAGATGACGAGATACTACCGAGAGAACTGGGCGCGGGGGCCGGAGCCAGACTCCGACGAGGAGCAGGAGTACTACCACCTGCAAAGCTTGTGGCCCGCCCTCCGGCGCTTTGGAGGTCCGCCCAGGCGCGCGGGAACCAAACAACAAGGTCGGCCGCGTGAAGCGCAGATGGGTTGGGCAAGCCGAAAGAACAACGGCCACTGGGATTCTTAGCTCAATTGTTTGGGAAAAACAAAACGCTCAAGAAAAAAGATCACGAAGCCAGGGTTGCCTCGTGTGCCAAGACTGTTTCAACCAACGGAGACCGGTGCGCACCGCTCGCCCGAGCGCTCCGATCCAGGCGCCGGCAGAGCTGGCTGGTGGAGGACGCCGGGCACAGCAACCGGCGGCTGAGTCTGCCGGCGCTCCAGCGGGAGGAGCTCCTGTGCTCGATGATCCAGCTGGCGCCCAAAGAGTTGCAGGCGGGGATGTGAGGGTTGTGGGAGGTTTGGGGGGAACGGAGAGGGGGGGGGTATGTTTTTGTGTTTTTTGTTTGGGGGGGTTTCAAGTTTGAGAGGGGGGGGATGGCTGGGTCAATTTTTCCGGAGCCGAGGACTCCCACTGGCACTGCTTCTTGGCCCGACTCTTGCTGTGCACCCACAACGACGCCCAACTGTTTGCGCAGGCCAAGGGACGTGGGCAGTTGGTTGGCTCGGGTTTTGCGAAGACCCGCGGCATTTAAAAGCTTTTCTCAAGGGGATCCAAATTGGAACTAATATGAAACCCATTGGGAACCATTTGGTCAAGGGCCCGCGTTGTTGTCTCAGAAAAAGATCCGTTGGATGCCCCGAAGCATTGGCCTTCGTTTCATTGACATAGTATCACCCCCTGAAAGGTTCACAGTTTCACGAGAACACTGCGTTGAGCGGCAACGATCCCCAACTTGCCACGCATGGGTCTCAACAGCTTAGTGCTAATTTTGCCTCGAGTCCGGTCTAAGCATTTCGAAGTTCCCTACAGGGTCCCAGCATGGGGTACTTTTCAAGTGAAGAAACAAATCAAAAACACAATACACACGCAGATGATTTCCGGATTTTTCCAGAAACGCCTATGCTGACCCAGTCTGCGTTCCAGAAACACTTATGCTGACCTCGTCTGCGTGTTTCGGGTTGGGCCATTTTGTTGATTGATCACACCCATCCACAGCATCCGCTGAATCATCTTGGACGAAGTGTAGTCTTTGCACCAGCAACCTTTTAAGTGCAGCAACCTTTTACGTGAAGTCTGACAATAGGTCATTTCTCAAGGTGTCAGGTCCATTACACTGATTATTTTCATCTTGGGCTGGTTGATCCCTACCTTCTCCCTTTGATTTGCGCGGCCCATTAACGAGGTGAACCCGTTGTCAAGTATGCAGGGTAATTGGACAACTGACAGGTCCGCAGAGGTGGAACTCTGACATTTTCCGGCCATTCCTTTCGAGCAGCAGGTTTTCCAAACTTTCCTGTTTAGGTCTTGTAGACCACCTTTGGTTGAGTTTCTCTTTAGTGTACCCCCCCCGCCCCTGCGGGGTAAGCGGGAAATCGAGAGGAGTGAAACCATTTCAAGGGTTCCGTGGCGCACATGCTGAAACAGCCGGAACAGCCGGCATATTCCTTGTGTCTTGGCATCAAGCTCGACCAAACATACAAAGTATAGTGACAAATGAAAGTGTCATCACAGTGCACATGCTGCTCCTTTTGCATCCTTTCTCCAGCCAGTCATGCTTGATCACTGTTTTTGGTGCAGCCCTCTCATCACCTGCAAAGCTCTCAAAGTGCCAATGGGCCCTCAAGCATCCCGAGAAGCGGGCGGCAGGAAACCACATTGCAGAAGAAACCGCCACCACCTTGGAACATGCGAAGGATTTGCTGATCAACATGGCTTCGGTGCACGAACCAACGGTGAAGATGTCAGCGCGCATGGGATCAATGGCTTTCATTTGTAGCAGTCAATGCAAGCCAAGCTGCACTGCGTCTGGGTTCGACGCCCCGTTTAACTATCATCTCCTCACCTCGGCACGATTGCAACTGTTGACCTGTTTGCTTTGCTTTTGCTTCCATGCCTTCCATGTCTGTCCGCTCCTTTTTCGCTTGGTCCTCATTTTTAACCTTTCCTGCGCTTTCCGTTTGGTCCTCTCCCATAAAGTGCAATCCGTCGGGAAGACAGCGATTGAAACTCCTCGGGTCCTGTCGGTGCACACGAGAAGGAGTCGACTGAGGAGCTCGTACAGAACATGAGATGAAAGTGTCCACGACATGACGAATCTACGAACGACAAGGAACATGATACCGCGGCACTACTCCAAGCGCTTGGAAAATAGGCATTGCGACTGGCTTGGACCAGCCGGAAGTACAGAAAGTGATGGCTCTGCCAGCGCGGCTTCATGCAACCAAGAAAAGCCGACACTCAGTCGAATGTGGGCAACACTCCAGCCGGGCGGCTGGGGGGGGGCACGGGGGGACTCATTCCCGAAGCCAGGGGCCGCGCCCGGATTTTCCGATCATGCCGAACATATCCCAGCCCAAGGGCCCCAAAAAGCATCTGTTGGTTTCTGAAAAAGTTCGGAACCCCTGCACTGCGCTCGGCTTCCTTCCAGCTTGCTTCCAGCTTCCAGCTTGCTCTCAGGTCCAGCTGCCGTACCTCAGCAGCTGCGCGCGGAAGATGGCCCGGCAGGTCTGCGAGTTCCTGCAGAGGAAGAAGCCGCCGGTGGTGGAGGCGCGACGGCACAGCCAGAAGGGCGCGGTGGTCCACTTGCGATGTTAAGCTGAAAAAGGCCAAGCTGGGGGCGGCGAGCCTCGGAAACGCGCGGCGCAAAAAACATGCCGCGTTTCGCTGCTTTGCCCCTCTGTCCGGACGTCTCCCTCCTTTGTCTCAGGGCCTGGAAGGTGCCGAGCTTATCCCCTGTTTGGTTCACCCGTTTCGAGTCAACGGCTGGGTCAACCTGCCTGGTCCACTTGGTCCACCTGACCCGTGTTTCCGGCCAACAGCTCGGATTGCGGTTAAACCGCTCGGATTTTGCAGAACACCAAGAATACATACAACACGCCAAGGGCATACGTTGCATAGTTGCATAGCCTTTCTTGTAGTCTTTTGAAGGCTTGGCCACCACTGGGCCCAACAGGAGAATGGGGAGTACAACCTTTCTATGGTGGCTGGTGTGGTCATTTTTCGTCTCCCAAAATTCCAATGATCCCGCAAAAGCCCTGCAAGAAACCGGTTGGCTTCACAAACATCATCGCACATTGGTTCTAGCCCAACGGTCTTTTGAGGCTCCGCCGGGAGGTTTGTCCCGTGTTTTTTTTCCTCCCGGCTTTTTTTTTTGAGCGCTGAGCCGCTCAGGGCCCGGGCCGGGAGCCGCTCAGCGCCTTCCTCGGGGTGCTGCGCGCGGCGCCGCGGATCTGGCGAGACCTCCACGCCGTGCCGCTGAGCAGCGCGCACAGGCGAGACGAGTCACTCGAGGATATGAGGAACCAAATCACCACGTCAATTGCGCGGAGGGCTTTACCCAGTTCTGATCATTTGACGCTGATATAGCTCTTCTTGAGTAGTTGTTTTATGGGTTTGACTTGCTTATGAGACTAGCTTCTTTATTTGTCGTCTTATCCCTACCCCCAAAGACTTCCCTTAAAACCTGATTTGGCCTTACTTGGCCTTGTTTCTCCTGACTAAGCTCTTCAAGCCCATAGCCCTTGGGGGGTTTGGGTGGGGTTGGCGGGTTTGGTGAGGGGATTTCGGGGGTGTTCTGATTGAGGTCGCGTGTGACATAGCCGATGGCCAAGTTTTGCTTCTGAGGGGTGATCGGAGCTTGCCACATAGTTTGACCAGTCGCCTGGTTTCGGGTCTTGCCTCTAGGTGGAGCTTGCTGCAGACCTCCGTGGGAAAGGCGCTGAGCGGGCCCCTCAGCGCGAGCAGTGACTCCGTGCTGGCTGGCTTGCTGGCCGCCTACGGCCAGCTGCATGAGCCAACAGGCGCGGCTGGAGAACCAAAAGGGGCACCAGATGTTTTGTGGTTGGGTTTCTGGGCTTTGGAGCACCCATCTCCATTTGCGATAGGCCACTTCCTGTGATAGGGGCCTCAAGGTTTTCTCCGAGCTGCCATTTTTGCCCGCCATTGCCAGAAGTGGTTGGACTCCTCTTCATGTTTTGTCAAAAAGGGCGCACGGCGGTTCGGGAATCCAAGACTCGGCCAGGTGCTCCGGTGGCGGACGGCTCCGGCGTGCACGTGGAGCTGTCGGAGGAGAGCCGAAGCTTTCTGCAGCGCTTGGTGGGCGAGGTGGGGGTGCAGGGAAGGGGCCGGGGTGGTGGGGGTTCTCCGGCTTGAGGAGTTGGGGTTTTTTGAGGCTCACCTTTTTTGGTGGTGTTAAATGGAAACCAAGCGAAAACGTTAAGCCATTTTGGGGGGTGCCCTACAAACCTCATTTGAGGAGGAGTTAGCTTTGTCATGCAGTGAGTGCAGCATGGGATCGCTTTTGTGTAACACGTGGCACTTGTGGCGCCTTCTAGTCCTGCCTTCTTTTTGAAGGTTCCCCTGTATATATTTCCCTTAACAGCAATCTTGACCTGACCTTTTGGTTGCCAAATATGGGTGCGTGCTTTTTGAAGCCACCCTTGCAAAGGGAAGCCAACAGGAATACTGCATTTTTCGGGTCCCGTATTTTGACAGCTTTTGATTGCCACACAAGGTGGTCTTTTTTTTTTTTTGAGAGTTGTTTCAGGGGGAACTTGGAGGGTCCCCTCAAAAGAAGGCAAACCGTGAAATTGCTTGACTGCCTTTTGGCTGCCCGAGCAACGCGTTTCAAGTTTTCGTCGTGCGCCAGGGCTCCGATGCGGATTTGTTGCGTGGCCTCCAGAAGAAGGCAGGGGCCAAGTGCTTTTGCCCCAGATCGGATCAAATTAGGTGGCAAATGGATGTTCATCCACCCCAAAATGGAGCCATAGAGGATGACTGAAGGTGGTTTACCCCAAAAGCAACACCAAAGGACACGAAATGATGCTTGAACATGTGAACATTTGAAAGCGTTCAAAGCCGCCTTGAAAAGAATACCGCCGCCCGAGGGCGGCATCCTCGTATACAAAAAAATAAAATAACATACATAAATCAAGAAAGAACGCTCAAAAAGGTACTCTCATGCAGGTGGAGATAAGAATTCGGGGGCTAATGTCCGCCAACCACTTTTGAGGTGGTTTCAACCCAAGAAAGGGTCTCCCAAAACCTTTCAGGACCAGAAACCCATTTGAGACCAACTCATGGGTGTCAAATCCGGCCTTGATCCGCTGTTATTTCTCTTTACACCAGCCCGAAAGAGGACCCCCGGAAAAAAAGACCTCCCTCAACAAAGAAAACGCAAACAATATATATGATTCCTTAGGTGCAGGGTTTTGACCCACAGCCATATTTCAACACCCTCATTTGGGTGCCCAAAACATCCTCCTTTCGGTGATGGCGTTCCTTCGAAGGTGCTGGGCACCGGAAGCAAGAAAAGGAGGCTGGCGCCGTCCGCGTGCTTTCTGCAGGCGGCTCAGATGCATCTGCCTGCCCGTTATTTCGATGGATCCGTAGCCGAAAATGCGCTTCATGCCTACGTTCTTTTTTGCACCTGTATGCATATATGTTGAAGTACACATGCATGCGCCAGTCATACCCTTGTAGATACGGTGAAAACCCCTTTTCTCACTTCAGGCGCCTAGGTCATCCCAAATGAAGTCACCCGGTCCGCTTTGCGGCGCGCAAGCACCTTCCAACGGGGGCATCTGCAGTTTCGCTTTGCCAACGGATTAGCAAATGGTGGCTTCTCGTCATTCTTTTGTTTTTCAATGCATACGGTTTTGATCAGCAATAAGCATCATGCATGGTTAGGTAGAGGCACAGATATGCATCATAGACACTGCTTGTCTTAAACGAATATGTACGCAACACAATATGTAAAGTATATACACAAGTGCAAACAACGACTGGAACCACAACGAAGCACCATCCGGATGCATGGGCGTTTCGCTCATGTTGAGCATAAGGCGATGTGCTTTCAAGTTGCGGGGCTTCCATGCGCAGAAAGGGGTGTGCCCCCTTCCCCCCCCAAAAAAAAAACACCAAAAACACAAAGGAAGAAGTGTGGTTTCCTTTAGGTGTCCGAAACAAGAGCAAACAAACGGGGTCCCTCAAGGAACGACGACCCAAAGGCATGAAGAGGTTTCGGGGGTGCCTGGCAGGAGGGGGAGGCGAGCTTTGGAAGTCTAGCAGCGGCGGTGGCAGAGTACCCAGCCTGGAGCGAGGCCTTGGGCGGTAGGTCACAGGCAGCATGTGATTCAGCATGTGATTTAGTTGGAGGGGAAGGGACAGCCATGACCATTGCCATTTTGAGTCACGGTCGCCTCTTCAATCCTTGAGGTAGACCGTTCTACCAGGTTTTTGAGTCTCAGGTGCAACTGGGTGTGTCTTTTTGGGGTATCCCAGGAATGGCAACGGCGTGCAGCAGGTTTCCCTCTAAAACCAACCAGCAAGTGTTCCCCCCCAAAAGTACACTCAACTGGATTGCGGGTGCCTAAAAGGTAGGTTTGGGGCAGTTAAAAGGCCACCCAAATACCAGCTTTTTCTTTTTTGGGATCCCCTTGTCAAACAAATAGGCGGCTTTTGGATGCATCCTATGAGACACCCTGATATCTTCTTTCATGGGGGACCACTGAACCAACTCCGTGATGACTTCAGTACTACTTGGGAGCTTTGTGAATCAGGGGTCTGTGACCAGCCAAAAAGGCCTAGGGTCCGCAGGCTGCGGCATGATTCCGCCCAAACAGCTTGGTGCTTGGGGGCGAAAGGGTCTAGGAGCCCTTTGTGGGGTACCCGGGAGCATCCCGCCCAGTTTCAAGCAGTTGGCTGGTTTCAACAAAGTCGCATGGGCTGGTCAACTCAGCGCGGGTCCACAAGGGGTTTGCAGAGGCGCTCAAAGCGGCCGCTTCGGCGGAAGCTGCGGCCAGCCAGCCGAAGAGAAAGAAGGAGGCGAAGAAGGAGGCGAAGAAGGAGGCTGGGTCCCCCCCCCCTTCCCGGACAACAAGTCCACCCCACTCCACTCCCACCCCAGTCCCACTCCAATCCCACCCAAACTCAAGCCAGAGGGGAACCCCCAAAGGGGTTGTTTGCTTTTTGGTCATGAAGGGTTCGTTACACCGTTACAGCCAAAAAGGGTTCCACTTCTTTCCCTGGGAGCTTGTGGGCAGTGTTGCCTTCTGTGGGGGCAAAAAAGGGGTCGAACAAAAAGTTGGGCCCTCACTGCTGGGAGAATCCCAAGTTGGCTTGTTGGTTTCCAGAAAAAAATACGCCGAAAGGGTGTGTGTGTGTGTGCGGAGTGGCAGAATACCCTGTCACCACAATTAGTAGCAGGGGGGCAGTGGTCCCTACAGCAGTCGCTGCCTAACAAAGACGCTGCTGTAGAGGATGTGAAATCCACGTCGGACGCGATGTGGACGTACCTGCATTTTCTGCCAGTCGTGATGTTCTGAACGTCCTTTTGGTCCCTCCCCTGAACCGCTGTTGCTTCTCTGTCTCCCTGTTGAAGTAACTAGAGTGAAGCTGAGTGACGTGCGAGCCGAACCTTATCCGACTTGAGACTTGTCAGTTGTACTCGAGACTCATCAGTTGTACTCGAGACTCATCAGTTGTACTCGAAAGATTAGCACCCTCCATCTGGAGTTTAAGTGTGTACACCCCATTCGTGGGGAATCCTCGGGTGTACCCATTGTGTGACCCCGGGCCGACTCTGTCGGAAAATTTGACCTCAACGTGCTTATCATAGAACAGCGGAATTTCTGATTTAGCCAGGAACGAGGTTTCACTAAAGGGAAGACAGCCGTCAGATCATAGCTAAGTCTCACAATCGCTGCTGGTGGCTGCATGACCGCGTGTTGATCTGTGCTTGGCTTGAACTTGCGTTGACTTGCATCTTGTCGGATTCGGTTCTCTCAAGATTGAGGTGTCGCAGTTTTGAGTTTGTTGTGCCATCATGTCTCGACGGGATGATCGTGACAGATCCAGAACACGGCGCAGACGGGATCGGAGTCCTTCCCCTCAAGCTCGCAAAGCACGCCGACGCGAACACAATGACAATCAGGTCTCGGAGGGCATGGATTGGAACAACCTGGTATCCTGGCAACACAATTCAGGCTACAACTCCAGCAACAATTTTCCGGTGATGCCAGGCAATTATCAATCGATTCCAAACCCCACGCAGCAGTTCCATCATTCACCGGTCAACTACATGATACCGGTTCCTCCAGAGCCCACGCCAGCGAAGTTCATCACGCCCGTGATGCCACCACCGGTCACTCCTTCTCAAGCTACACCATCGCCTGGACACCCTGCAGCCCTGCCAGTTCGACCTCAGAAAGCATGGCTTACACCACCGGTTGACTGGACACCTGGAGATGGCATGCTAGACATCAACCAGCTCTACAACTTCAGCCTGCCCATGACGGTCGCCAACACCCCGCACAACAACCTACGTGACATGTCCGGCATGGACATTCGTGACGTTCGCCTGGTTCAGGTCATTCACGGGGGCATCACCAACTGGCTGCTCCGACCATTTGCTCACGGCAGATTCATGACATGGGAAGGCTTTCGCACTCGCACCGAGGCCCTACTTTGGAGTACCTGTTCCAAACTACTACGACGATCACAGTCGATCAACCTGCTCACCTTAGAGAAGGACCTTGCCAGCTCACTGGGGCTCAACCTTGACGACTTCAACCAGCGTATCAAGGTTCATGACCATTTGGCCAACTTGGTGCTTCAGTTCCTTCAGCAGCAACACGCGACTCTCACGCCCTCTACCCAAACGGAAGACATGGTCAAGAAGTTCAATGATCTAAATCGAGCTCATGAGTTGCTACAGGCTCAGTATTCGGCATCGCTACGCGCTTCGACTTCCCCTACGGTGCCAACCCAGAAGGATGATGCAGACTACATCCGGATCTTCAACGGCAATTACGACCTGAAATGTTGGATGACATTCAAGCGCATTACTCCACCCTTTATCAGCTGGGATCCAACACAGGTGCGTCGTTCCAGACTACGCGAGACTTACTGTCGGCGGCTTTTCCACCTACTCAGCTCTACTACTTCCTACGACTCTCCGTCTTCGTCAATGAGCCTTTTCGTTCTAAGGCACAGAAGCTCCTCACCCAGGGAATGCACAAACGACAACTTCAATCACCAAGCACTTGGACACAACTACTTCTCCCACCTCTACATGTACGGAATTGGAAAGCTCAGCTTGGCACATGGTTACAACGTTGGGTTGCTTCGCATCGTGACTTGTTTCCCTCCCTATTTCTTCCAAAGATCCGGGTGGTGGAAACTCGCAGTGCTACCTTGGGGGACAGGATCTACAACTACCGCACATGGCAACGCAGGTGGACTCCTGACATATCTTTTCCGTGTCGCTGTTCAGACATTGATGACCGCCTCCTACATCGTGCGCATGAACATGTAGTAATGGTAGATGAGTTCTCACGCATCAATGCAGACATCGACATTGACATCATGACCGCGTCCATGAAGGATGAATATTTTGGCGATGTTGACATTTTGCATCAGCGTTTTACCACACAGCTTCGCAAACTAGCTCGTCGGTGGCATGTGCATGGATCCAGTCTCCTTACTGATCTGCGACCTGTTATGACTCAGTTGATTGATGCCCATCGCTCCAACCTTCATGATCGTGCTCACTGGACATCCGAATCACTACAGCGCACCGTGGTTTCTCTGTCCTCGTGGGTTGTAATTCCAGCGGATCATTTTCCCTCTCGTGCACATGTGATTTGTCCTTCGTTGTTTGCCATACTGATGCACAAGACCTTTTGCTCGGGAGAAGTCTTTTCGCTGTGTCGTGAATCTGCAGCATCCTTTCGCTCAGAAGTGGCCACTACGATACCTTCTCTCCTACGCGTGGGGACTTCGACTCCAAGCACCGTTGCCTACAGCCCGCATCCTTCCCAAACCGACCAAGGACTGGCAGAAAGCAAGACCGATCATTTCTTTCTTTCGCACGTGGGCAGCACCCTTCCTCACGGTCTTCGGCGCCCTCATATTTGAACTTACCAAAGTCACCTTTCCAGACATACCAGGTCAGCTTTCGGTTCAGGAGCTTGTCCAACAGCTTGGGACGCGCTGTCAAAGACAGATCCCGCCGAATACATCCACCTGGTGTCTCAGGACCTTTCCGGTTTCTTCACATCCATTCCCACGGAGCGTTTCCATCAGGCGCTACAGGTGCTTCTTCATCGTTATGATCAAGTAGTTGGCCTCCGCCGATCCTCACAATGGTCGGTGTACGAACTGAAGTCAGATCATCGACGCCGTATGTTCAAAGGAAAATGGCGCCGTCAAACTAAGGTTCCTCGAACCTTTCGTGAACAAGATCTTCGATGCCTCCTTGACTTTGTCATTGGTAACAGTCACTTCGAGATCAATGGCTATTTGTTCCGGCAAGAACGTGGAGTCGCTATGGGATCACCTGCAGCACCCCCTCTCTGCAATCTGGTTGCCACGGTGGAGGACTTCTTCTGGCACCAAACAATGTGCTCTCTACGTTTTCGCATGCCCGATGTCGGGGTGATCTGGCACGAGCGTTATGTCGACAATCGCTTCATCCTGCTAAGTGATTCTGCCCCGCAATCACCGGTGCTCAGGAATTTTCTTCCCCTGGAATTTTATCGACCACCTGTGATGCTTGAGTTTCAGAATGATGACAAAGTTCTGGGCTACCTATGTGATTCATCGTCCAGGACTATTACACCACAACTACCTGATCATCCCTCTCAAATCAAAGGGATCCGGAGTGCCAATGATCAGATGTTTACTTACTCTTCGTGGTCTTCCCGCTCGTGGCTCATTATACGTGGTGCTCAACCTGCGGTTCAGCAACAACTTGGACTTGACGCTCTCAAACGCCTTTATGAAGCCAAAGGTTTCGATCCGCATCTCCTTCGTGATGTTCGGCGACGACTCGTGACAAAATCTGCATGCTGCCTTGTTGCTGTGTTGCTTGTGGTGTTCACTTGCGATTGCTTGTCGGGGCGTTTTGTTGTGTCATTCATGTATCTGCATGCAGTCGGCTCGGAGGTGTTGGCCCCTTGCATGGCGGCGCCCCTTACCTGAACATGGCGGAGTATGTTGTTAGCAGCCTACTACGCCCAGACGGCACGGTCCAAACCACGAGCCAAGTGACGCTGGACCACCTTCCAAACTTCATCAATGGCAATGAGATGCAGCTCTTTGTCCAGACACACGGCCTGGACATCAGCACAATGTGCAGGCGCACAGATCTTCACGTGATGCTCAAGCACTTAGCTCATCGACCAACGTCAGAGCGGTGCGCAATCATGCAATCGGGAGGCGTTCCCGCTCTCCTGTATCCCGTCGCTCCCGGGTCAAGCTCACACCGGGACCACAAGGGATGTCTGAGGATGAAGAGGACTGGGGAGAATGGAAAGGCCGCGCTCATGATGATCAGAGGAGACCTCGATCGCCGTCACTGCCGCCTGCTCACCTCAGGGTACCCGTGAACCAGATTGAGTTGCTTCATCTCCCTGTTCGCCAACAAGTACCTGCCTTGGGCAGCCATCGTTTCACGCTCCGCACTGGCTGTCGGATTGAGGAAATTGCCATCCTGATTGACGATGTTCTTTACTACACGTTGCCCTGCATTGCCACCTTAGTGTTTCCTGAACCTGACAAGTGGAAGAAATCTTGGGAGACGGTCTACAGGAGCCTCATGCCGCATCGCCACAACATCATCGAGGATGAGGAGCGGGTGAAGTCCGTCTCGGAACTACCATTTTCTCCATTGCCCCATGGCAACCCAGGCCCCTGGACGGCGCATGTAGTCAAGGAGATTTCCAGCCAATTCCAGATCTCCCCGGAGTCCCTGCCGTCGCAACTCATTGTTCAGCTTGGCATCTGCGAAGAGGGCTGGCCCTATATTCGCAAGACCAAACGGACGTATCACCAGTTCTTGCCCGACA